TATGTAATATAACAATACTATTAATAGTTGAAGACAAATATTAGAGACAGATATATTAATTACCCTGTACATACTTGCTCAATTTTAGATATTATAATCATTATGACTTTTGCCACATAATTAAAAATGATAGATTAAAGAGGAAAATTTAAAAAGGCACCAAAAGAGCTATTAGTTTTGAACTAGAGAAAGGTCACCACATTCTTTGAGACCTGAAGGGAAACAGTTCAAGTTATGTTCAGATTTATCAAGCTATTGAAGTGTCGTACTAGGAAGATGGATCACATTTAGGCTTGATGGAGTCAATGTTGTCAATAAAGTAGAAAGGGAAATTGTTTTCTAGGGAGATTAGTTTGAAGCTTAAGGAGAGTCAAGAAAGGCAGCTAACTCTAATGCTAACAAGACAAAGTTTGGGAGCAGTCTCTGTGACCAATAAAGTTTAGAAAACGAACTTACTTTGGGATTCAGCTGCTTGATGGAGTGGCAATAGAAATTGAGTTCATGGTGTTTTTCAGGTAGAACTAAGAGAGGCAGAAGAGCTATATGAACTATCAAGATAATATTTAAAAGAATCAAGGATAAAGTCTGAGCCCTGTAAGAAAGGAAGTGAGGCTAATAGGGAAGAGAATGAAATATAAGCAGTGTTAAGGGATGGAGTGTTCTATTATGATAAAGAAAAATTCTTAGCTTCTACTTGTTCTACCCTTTCAAAATATATGTCATACGTTACCTCTTTAAAGTTCAGCCTGAACAAGAAAGGAAGTGAGGCTCAGAGGAATTTTTAAGGATGGATTACAGTGGGAGGGTTGAAGGACTGAAGTATTTTGTGAAGTAAAAAAACCAGAAAGGCTCCAATTTTCAAATCTTTTCACTAGTCGAAGGCACATATCATACCATGTCACTACCCTATCACAACTCTTCCAATGTCTTCCCATCACAACCAAATGCTTAACATAAGTTTCTAATCTCAATTTTTATCTTTATTCCTACCTCCTGAGCCACTTGCCTTTAACTTTCCCCATCTCTCTATCTTGTCTGGAGAAGTTCATTCTTCTAGAGCTTTTTACTTAAAACCTATACATGCATGAACTTACTTGCTTTTGGAATTTTTTTCATTTGTTGATACCATTAATAAGGAGAGTTCAGGTTCTTGTAGGGGTTCAAAACACACCACCCCAAGATGTGCCTCAGTGGTATGCAGATTATTCTGAACTAAAGGCAACTGAGACCCTGCAGGCTCAAGAGAAACTTCTGCTCCCCCTTAACTATCTAGAAAAATTTACATTAGAAAGCTGGTCCATAAAGGTTTAAACAAGAAGTGCCTTTTTTCTACCTATGGTAGGATAGACTAATAAATACTGAACATGTGCTCTCCCTACAATTACCTTCTGAAGCCAGAAATTGCCTTACCTCATCCCTAGCTTAGAATGCCATATACATCTGATTTTCCCTTTCTGTCTCTGAACCTTTCATGTATGTGGGGTTTCTGACCCTCATGACTGCGAGGTACCCATACATATGTATTTAATTAAATTTGGTCATTTCCTTTTGCTGATCTGTCTCATGTCTATTTGATTATTAGACCAGCCAAGAGAATCTTGAGCAAAGTTTCTTCCTTCCTACATTCTCAATGCCTCACTGCCTACTGTAACTTGAAAATGTAAACAGAGAGGCAGCTTGAGGGCTCTGCTGAAGGTTTGGGTTGAAGGTTGTGACAAATCATTGAGTAAATTAGAGAGATAGTAGAATTATGGCTGATGGTTCTGTAAACCCAGCTGTGGCTGGAGAATATATTTGTAGTGTTCAAGGTTATCCATTATGAGTAGTAATTTTAAGTACCCAGAAAGTGTACAGTTATTTTGGTGGTAGCCACGCTGGTTTAAATTTAACTGTTAAAGGACTGTTTATATTATCATCAGCAGCCCAGTGGGCCAGTCTGAACAATGGAAATGATGATTACACACAAAAAGATGCATTTGAAATTTTATTTTTTAAGGTAAAGAAATGAGATTCTATAATAGAAAGAGTGGTGAAAACATCTTAAATTATCATCACCCCAACTTATATGAAATCACAATGCAGACCCAGCATATTCAGCATGAACTAACAGAAGAATATAAACAGTCCTGGAAATATTCTTCTCAGTCTTCTATTGGCTCAATTTGTATGCCTTATTATTAAGTCCGTCCAAACATGCTGGTGGTATGAAGTAATATGGTAGATAGGAAACTGCAGAAGATAGATTTTCCAGTCAAACCTAAAAGGAGAAAGGCAATGCTGTATTATCTATTAGACTTACAGATAAAATCCTATTCATGGGTTTGCTTTCTGCAGTTTCAGTTACCTGTGGTCAATAGCAGCCCCAAAATATTAAATGGAAAATTCTAAAAATAAACAATTCATGTGTTTTCAATTGCATGCTATTCTAAGTAGAGTGATGAAATCTCACACTGTCCTTCTTGTTCCCAACTGGGAATCATTCCTTTGTCCAGCATGTCCATGTTACATGCACTACCCACTCCTTAGTCACCTAGCAGTCTTAGGGGTTATCAGATCAATTTTTATGGTCACAGTACTGTGTTCAAGTAACTCTTATAGTAGCCTAACACTACAATATGTACATCATTTGCCTCACTTTATGTCATCATATAGGCACTGTATCATCTCACATCATCACAAGAAGGGTGAATGCAGTAAGTACAATAAAGTATTTGAGAGAGAGGCTACATTCAAATAACCTTTATTACAGTATACTATTATAATTATTCTATTTTATTATCTGTTATTGTTATTAATCTCTTACTGTGCCTAATTTATAAGTTAAACTTTATTATAGGCATATATGTATTGTAAAAACACAGCAAATATAGGGTTTGGTACTATCCACAGTTTCAGGCACCCACTGGGGTCTTGGAGTATGCCCCCCACACACATGGAGAGCTATTGTATTCCAGAAATAATGTATGTTTGTATACAGAACACACATACACTCATCCATCCTAGCCTGGCAGGATGTTATTTGTTATAACTATTATAAGTTAATATTTTCTAGTGCCCAACATGATACCTAGCACATAGTCAGATTTTAATAACTATCTGTTGAACAATTAATGAATAAGTGCAAGTTAATAAGGTTCTTTAATCTAGCATAAAAAGTAATATTATTTATTTATTATTTGCTCTTTCAGTCAATATTTAAGAAACATTTAATTATTCTTATTTTCCAAATAGTTTATTTGACATAAAATATTACTGCTTTCTACATATGTGGTGACTCTTTTGGTCTCATTGAAATCTAGATTTTAGTAAAATAATTTTATTATACAAAATGACTTTGGACTGATATTTTAAGAAATCACTTAAAAGTTATTAAATTCTTGCCCTAGCTGGTTTGGCTCAGTGGATAGATCATCGACCTGCGGACTGAAAGTTCCGGTTTGATTCTGGATTCGTTCAAGGGCATATACCTCCTCCCTGGCCCAGTCCCTGGTTGGGGCACATGCAGGAGGCAACCAATCAATGTGTTGCTCTCACATTGATATTTCTGTTTTTCCTTCTCTCTTCCTCTCTGTCTAAAAATCAATGGATAAATATCTTTGGGTGAAAATTAAGTTCTTCAAAATCTCTTTTATGTTTTGTGGTTTCTCTGTTTCTTTTATAACTTTTCTATAAATTCAATACTTTTTGACAATTCTCCCTCCCTGCCCCTCATTGCTTTGCTTAGTCTATTTCTAGTTATCTGTAAGGACACAGTTGAGGACTGAACTCTGAATGACCTTTTTTGTTCTACCATATTCTTTTCATGCCTCTAACTTAGTATGTAGCATATTGTATTGCCATTTTTGTGTCCTTGTCTAGAACAGAGCTTAATGAGAATGAGTTCAGTAGTATCTTATTTATATTTATTTTGTGTCTCTTACATTATGGGACACATGATCAGCTTTTAAAAAACATTTCCAAGTATGTAAATAATGATAGCAAAGGGAATATTTCTATTTATAAAGATCAACTGTATTTTCATGTCTTATCCACAGTAGTTAAGCTATTATTTTTCTCACATAAGATCATTTTGCAAAGTTGTCTGAACTTTTCATCATTAGGAGGGCAGAAATGACAGGACAAGCAAAGCAAATCAAGTTTGCGACAATGTACCTAAATTTTTTTTTAATCCTCTAAAAAAATCGTAGCTGGAATTTGGATGTTGTTTGGCTTCAGTAGTGTTTGAGCCCTAGGGCTTTTGCAGGATGATCACAAACAATTTATTTAAACTCCATGGGCTTGTTTCTGAATCTCAAATTGGCTTATAATATTAACTACCTCATAAGTTTTTTGATGAGCATAAAATTAGTCATCTTAGGCAAAGGGCTTGGAATTGTAACTAGCACACTGGAAGTCCTCAATAAATTATTGTTATTATTGTTATTACTCATTTCTTAGAAACCTACTTTGGCCTGTTGCAGGACATATATAAAGAACAAGAAGATAGATTGAATGAGAGAAATTCCAAGATAGGAGATAACCTATATACTGCAAGGACAATATAAAAAATAAAATAAAAGGTAACTAAAAGCAACACTGATGTGCATTATTTTATTTGGACCTCTATCATGCTTTATAGTAATGATTGAAGTGTCAAAGAGAGAAACTAGGAAAACTGGAAGAGGAGGACTTGTGGTATTTTTTAAAAAATGATAATTTTTCAGAGAAAATATGTAGGAATTTGTCTTAAAATAGCTTGACTTGCATAGGAAATTCTCTTGATATTACAGTAGATATCTTCACCCAAACTAAACTGTTGAGTCTGAAGTTTTTTCTCAAGTCAAAGGTGACAGGTAAACATTTCTGTGGACATTATGCTTGTGAGAATTTCCACCCAAAGCCATTGCTCCTGGTTGAATGTATCATCAGGTATATAGAAAAGTTATACTATATATTTTTTTCAAAATTTTCATAAAACACATGTGTACAAATTACACAGACACATTACATTCGGGAATCAAGAAGGTATAAGCATGATCTAAAATATCTCATAAGCCAAAATATTATTTAATTAAAGTTGAAACTATATTACTTAACACTATTAAGGTCACATTCTTCACATAAATATCCTATTTAAATTATTGTTTAAACTCCAGACCTGAAGGCACTTACCAATTCAAGTAAAAGCAGTTAATCCAAGAATCTTAATAGTACCTCTTTAAAAGAGAAATAAATGACACATATTAGCTAAATGTTTATAATAAACAAATATATTTTATCATAAACAAATATCTCTCCACATAAATACTGAGAACTTTCTTTAAGCATTTTATATTCAAAACTCCAGATACTAAATTCTTATTATCTCTTTAATGGGGATGCTATTTTAAATACTACATGTATATCTAGAAAACTAAATCATATTTTAAGAAATCCTATGAAATGAAGTGACTTTCCCAAAATTAAAGGCTTATTTATGTCAGGTCTTCTGATTCCAAATCCTATATTATTTATATTAAATTGTCAGTTCTTTGGGTTCTATTTCCTGTTCTTACACTTATTATTCATGTTAAAAAACATTTCCAGAATCACATTTTAAAAAATTAAATGAAGAAGAAATGTTACCCAGAGCTTCTTCTAGCTACTTTTTTATAATTTCAGATACTTTTGTAAAATGGAAATAATATCCTCTATCTTGACCTACCTCAAAGAATTGCTATAAGAATTAACTGAAATATTATAAGCTAACACTTAAGAAGTTTAAATCCAATGTAAATGTAATTTATCATTATAATTATTTTTATTTATCATACCTGTATTTACATGATGTGATTTATAATTTAATTTCCAGCCTAGAAATATTTATTCAATATGATTCAGCTTCTATGTGAGAATTTGTTGTGATTTTATTTCTCGATTTCATTTCTTAGCTAACTTTTACTACAAAAGATAACTCTTTTTAAAAATAAAAAATGAAAAGAGAGAACTCACCACATTGGGGATAGTTTGGTAAACATTAGTCAATGGGTTCATAGCTGGCTGGTGCTGAACAGTCTTAAAATATTGAGGCAAGGGGAATTTTTGATGATACTGGGCCATTTTGTTCTAGAAATAAAATTATAAGCAATTTGTAATTTGTTTATAAATATTTTTATTTCTAATTTATAAATAAGTTATAAGTCAATTAATATGATTTGTTTATCAGCTATCAATTATAAATACCATGTGTCAGAGTACAACTGAACATAACAAAATAAACTAAAACTTTATTTATTTGGATCAATTCTTTTTTTTTTTAAATATATTTTATTGATTTTTTACAGAGAGGAAGGGAGAGAGATAGAGAGTTAGAAACATCGATGAGAGAGAAACATCGATCAGCTGCCTCCTGCACACCCCCCACTGGAGATGTGCCCTCAACCCAGGTACATGCCCTTGACCGGAATCGAACCTGGGACCCTTCAGTCCGCAGGCCGACGCTCTATCCACTGAGCCAAACCGGTTTCGGCTTGGATCAATTCTAAATGATACCAAACATACCTAAACAAAGGAATGTTTATCATAGAAAATTAATTCTGTATTTACATTCATAGAATGAACTGTAGAATTGAGAATATTTGTTGATTAATCAGACTCCAAGTCCAAAATGCTTAAGTAAAAAAAGCCAAAAACCAAAAAATAAAATAAGAAACAGAAGTATAAAAGGTGTTTATAAGAGGCAACAAGATAAATTTTTAATTTATTAAAAATAAGTGTCTCAGATTGTGTTTTCTTTTCAATGTCTGGTGGAAAGACTCTGGTCCTTAGGGTTTATAGAATGTTTGATTTGACTAGTAGAATCTATAACACTGAGCCAATTGTTAATCTCTGAGAATGGCACTTACCTTGTTAGAAGTAAATGAATTAATATAGAAAGAGCATTTTGCATAGTACCTGTCACCTGTTTTATGATTAATATATCTTCTCCTCCTCCATGCTCCATTTTGAGGCATACTTACATATGTGGCTACAGATTATTATAAGAATTAAAACTGAAATTTTATACACATTGGTATTTGCCTTCAGGATAATTTCCTATTTTTACAAAATGGAAAATCAATGGGTTTTTAGAATAGCCAGGAATAATTGTTGAGTAGATACATCACTGGTACAATGGGAGAATGTTTTTGTAACACTTTTGACAAATTACAATTTATAGAAATTAGAATTTATAAAAAGTTTGTTGTTGAGAGGATTGGAGTTTAAATATATTTTTATTGATTTCAGAGAGGAAGGGAGAAGGAGAGAGAAATAGAAATATCAATGATGAGAGAGAATCATTGATCAGTTGCTTCCTGCACGCCCCACACTAGGGAGCTAGCCCACAACCCGAGCAGGTGCCCTGACCGGGAATTGAACTGTGACCTCCTGGTTCACAGGCCTATGCTCAACCACTGAGCCATACTAGCTGTGTTAGGCTTGCAGTTTAGCAATATCTAAGCATAGTCTGGATGTGCTATAAATGTTTGTATAGAAAACTTACCAGATGTTTTTGGTTATTCTTATTTTCTTTAGCCAGCTTAGTTTTCTGTTAATAAGAAAAATAAACTGATAAATATAGAAGAAAATATCATGGAACGATATTTAATTTAATTAATTTTGTTTGAATAATAATGACTTACATGAGTGAGTATTTCAGTTGATTCCTTAGGGAAAGAAAATGAGAATCACTTTTATTTGGATGGCTCACAGTAATTTTTATCTATATCATTAGAGTGAAGAACTAAGGCTACTCATTTTAATGATTTAGGGCTAAGCCACTGCTATAAAGAAAGTATTACTTTATATCAATTTAAATATCTCCCCCTCCCTTCCTCTCTAAAATCAATAACAAATATTAGAAAAAATGAATTTAAAATCTGTTTTATTTCAAAATTTCCTTTTATCTACATTGCTTATATAATGTCAAATTCTCATGGAATATAGGCAGATGCCAAAAATAGAAACAGAGTGAGAGAGAGAGAGAAGAATGAAAAACTAATCAGGCCTGAGAGGTATGTGGCAAAGCTGCACGTGCTTTCTGGGAAGACCATTGTTCTTATTTTGGGCTTCGACCCTCAGTTTGAGAGAAGGGATTAAAAAAAAACATGATTCCTGAGGCACCAAGGAAGACTTTGGGCTGCAATCCATGCTTCATCCTCTCCTAAGACCTTTTCCTATTGTGCTCATCCACCTGGCTTTTTCTAACACAGTAGATGTTCTTTAACTTGGGATTTACACACTCATAACCCAATCTAGTATTCAAGCCTCTAAACAATATGAGTGAATCTAGGGTAAGGCTGGTTAAGGCAATTGACAGCATCCTGATTTGACATTGGTTTATTTAAAAAATGCATTTTTCCAATAAACCAGAGTCCAACTATACATTATCAAAAAGCATAATATAGAGCAGTCACTCTTGCCTATGTAGATAGCTTATTCCAGACTTCTAAAATGATTTTGATCTGTGTATATTTTTACAATGATTTTTCTGTGTTTCCACTGAACATTTTGAAGTGGCTCTATTTAAAAATTAACAATATCTGAGTTAACCAACAGCAGGAAAGCACAGTATTTATTTTTTTAAATTTTTATTTATGATTTTAGAGAGAGAGGTGAAGAAATAGAGAGCGAAAGAGAAACATTGATTTGTTGTTCCACTTATTTATGTATTCACTAGTGGCCTGGTGCACAAAATTCGTGCACCGGAGGGGGGGGGTCCCTCAGCCTGACCTGCACGCTTTCCAATCTGTGAGCCCTAAGGGGATGTCCTACTGATGGCTTAGGCCTGCTCCCCGTGGTTCTCTGCTCTCTGCAGGGCCTGCCTGCTCCACACCGCAGCGACTGCCAAGTAGGCCATGCTGGGAGCTACCTGGGGGCCGCACTTCCCTGCTCCTGGGTCGCTGCGGCAATGGCCAAGCAGGCTGTGCTGCGAGCTGCCTCCTACCTGCTGTCAGTCTCCATGGAGGTGATTAGGTTAATTTGCATACTCATTCCTGATTGGCTGATGAGTGTAGCAGAGGGACAGTCAATTTACATGTTTCTCTTTTATTATATAGGATTGGTGGTTTCTTATATTTGTCCTGACCGGGATTAAACCTGCAACCTTGGCTTGTCGGGGACAATGCTCTAACTAACTGAGCTAACCAGCCAGCATTTAGAAAGCACAGTATTTATCAATAAAATGGTTGCTTTATCTTAAAAGTATAATTTCTCACTAGATGAAGTGCTAAAAGATCTCTTAAGAAATAAAAAATAATAAAAATTTGGTGGCCCAAGTAATTGAATCTTTAGCAATATATTATTATTTGTGGAATTAAAGATCTTTTTCACATTTCAAGGATATTAGTATGACAGATGAAACAAATGTTAGTAAATTTTTCAGTTCAAAAATAGTAAAAATCTGATTTTTAAAAAAAGCAGTGGAAACCATATAAAACTAAGGCTATGTGGAAGGGTCTTGCTTACATAGAAGGATTTAACTAAAAGAATTGACAATTGAGGGAACCAAAGTTAAGAGGTAGGAAGAAGTTGTATTTTTAAGTAACAAAAACACACGCTCTATATTATTAAAATAAGAGCATTTCAGATAGCCTAATTAATAATATTTTAAAATTCATTTTTGAAAATATGAATTAAATATAACTTCATATAGAAACAATACCTTACCTTCTCGACAGTCTTTGGGATTTCCTTAAAGAAATAAAAGAAGAATTAGAGACTTCATTCTCACTGTATTGGATATGCATAATTTCTTCTTGAATCTATAGGATGTTCCCCAAAAATGTATATACACTTTAATAGCTCAATTTTGAAAAGGAAATATATTTTAATAAACAGTGCCTTTATAATTATTCAAAGTGTGGGTATACATTTTGTGGGTATACCCTATGTATAGAAAAAACCTTCTTTTATAAAGTATATTAAATTTATTTTTATTGCTTCTTTTGTATTCTCAAATTCTAGGATTATGTAGTGCTTGCTAAATACATATTTTTTAAATGAATGATGAATGACATATCTTTTTAATGAATTAATCAATCAACCAATAAATAAATAAATTTTATCTAGCTAGTATATATACCATATCCATTTTCTGCTCATGTTTATACAAAATAAAAAAATATTTATTGTATAGCCATAACAAAATAAAAGTTAATTTCTTAAATATAATTAATATGAATGGTTTTACTTACTTCCTGAGAGAAGCTGGCAGATTCCTAAAAAAAAAGAAAAAGAGATTATATTTTTTGGCGTCTTTTATAAAATTATTATTTTCTTATTTACTTTTCTGGGCATTTATTTATCCTCAGAGATTAAATAAGTAGGAATAGAACTAAGCTATTTTTGGGGTGATGTGAAAATTTCTTTAGTTGTTTGTGATATGCAGGAATACATTTGGCCAATAGCACTTTGTATGGATCTGGATGAACTAGAGTTGTTATTCCAGAATGATACACTGCGTTCTTCCCACTCTGCTCACAAAACTTAAGATGGTGCCATATCTCCCAGTGTGATAGCAATATTAAGAGGTGACATTTTCAAAAAGTAGTATGAAAATTTATTGTAAACTCTACTGGCACAAATCCTTGGATGTGTACATTTTTTGTTTTAGCCTCCCTAAATTTTTCTTAAAAGTCTGAAATTCTGATTCTCAAATATTATGTAATTTAAATTTATTGCTTAAAAACTATCTAGATAAGTGTCTAATGTATATGTATATGTATTATAATCTTGTATTAAAGTGCCTTACCTCACTGGTGGAGAGCTGTTCTCTGTTCTGTAATCCCCAAAAAAAGGCCAAGAGAAATTTTGTTATTTATTCCTCATATAAGGAAACACAAAACTGTTATGAAGCAAAATGGAAGGAAGTACTTGGACTTGCAAGTTATTTCACTTCCTTGCATTTTCTTACATTACTATCTTGTTACATAAACATAATAATTTTTATCCTTTCCCAAGCAAAAGGTATATGAGCAACACTTAGGACATGTTTATTAAATTTAAATGAAATTTTTCACTTGTCACTAATATTGTTGCTATTTATTACTTTATATTATTTGTGATTTAATTTCTGAATCACAAGATTTTATTTACAATGGTTTTACTGTACTTTCTAAGTTAGAACTTATTTGGGCATGTTGTTTCTAGCTATTTTACATATCTTTATCCTGAGTTCATCTCTTACCAAAAGAAAAAAAAAAAGCCCATAAACCAAAAAACAAAACAACAAACAAATTCAGCGCTCACCACAGTGGGGAAAAAGGAGTAGGCCCTTGCTTTAATCTGATCCCATGGGTTCATGACAATCTGAGGTTGATGAAGAGCCTGGAGATATTGGAGATAGTTCCACTTCTGATAAAACTGGTTGATTTTGTTCTAAAGAGACAGAAAATTATCAAATTTATTCCAATATTAAATTTCTTCCAAGGGTCAAAGCAAATCTTAGCAGACCCTGATCAGATTGCTTAATCTCCCTAAGCATTATAAGTACTATATAGGATTATATATGTTGTAATATATAGAAGTTTGCATAGTGCCTGTTTTTAGATATCTATCTATCTATCTATCTATCTATCATCAATCATCTGTCTATCTAAAAACTTCAGTCATCTAGCTATCATCTACCAGGCTCAATAAATAGTCTAGTAAATTCCAGAGCCTATGATCTGATTCTAAACATTTTTAAAGAGATTAAATATGAAACCACATAGTATCATTCTCAGGACAGTTTTCATTTCATACATATGAAATGGGTGTGTAGAATGTCAATTGCCCTATAGAATTGCTGGGAATAATTATTGAATGAATTCATAGTTAGGTTAATAGTGGTATAAAGACAGAATGCTACTGGGAGCATTTTGACAAAGTTTAAGAATGGTCTTTATAGTAATTAAAATTTCCTAAAGAGAAAGGTTTTATTAGGAGAGTCCCATTTTTCAGTGCTAAAGAAAGACTGTTTTTGTTATAAAGATTTTAGAAGGAATGTCTGCTCCATGTAGTAATCCTATATAATAAAAGACTAATATGCAAATCGACCGACCAGTGGAACAACTGGTTGCTATGACGTGCACTGACCACCAGGGGGCAGACACTCAGTGAAGGAGCTGCCCCCTGGTGGTCAGTGCACTCCCACAGGGGGAGTGCTGCTCAGCCAGAAGCCAGGCTCATGGCTGGTGAGTGCAGCAGTGATGGCGGGAGCCTCTCCAGCCTCTGGGGTATTGCTAAGGATGTCTGATTGCTGGCTTAGCTGTCAGGTAGACATGCCCCGTGGGCTCCCAGACTGCAAGAGGGCACAGGCCAGGCTGAGGGACATCCTCAAGTGCAAGAATTTTGTGCACCAGGCCTCTAGTATGATAATAATGTATTAACTTTTTTAGATGTATCTACCTACTGTGGCCCAAATTTTTATACAGAACATATTTTACATACACATTATCTAATGTAATTCTTCAGGGTCAATATAGCTATCTTCACCTTTAGTTGAGGAAACAGTAGTTTAGAGACATTATGTAATAATTTATGGATTTGTGGTTGATATGCAAATTGCTAACTCCCAAACATCTGCTCTTTCCTTGCACAGACAGTAAACTTTGCAGTCTGCAAAGGGTAGGTTCCATGACCACCTATGTGACCTGAAAAACTTTACTCTCGAAATACCTGTGTATGATGCCATTGACAAGAAGAAGCTGAGTGAATAATAATGTGATACTTCAACTACACTGGTATCTAACTGACATCATTTAAACTTGAAACTAATTGTCTGAGGTTTGTGACTCCTTCAAAATCAGTTAGATAATTGCTCAATCTTCATTGTTCCTAATATATAAATCCACATATCTGGCAAGATAATAGCTGGAAATTGAAGTAACACAAATGGAAAAATACACATTGCTATAAATTTTGGGGTAACTATCTCATTAGGATGAAATGAGCTATATGATCATTTGGGAGAAGAAAAAGCCATAATATAATGATTAACTGGAAATGATAGTTTATATTAGAAATGTACCAGTTGCTTTAGGTAGTGTTTTGTTTTTCCACAGTGAACTTAACTCTCCATTAAGAAAACAAAAGCACTTGCTATAAAAATACCCCCAAAGAAAATAGATTTTATGTACTAATTATTTTATTTGAATGAAAATTACCTCTGTGGGGACTTCAGCAGATTCCTTAGGGGGAAAAAAAAGAATTAACTTAACTTGCATGATTTAGCCTTAGAGTTGTATTAGAATAAAAGGGGCAATTACTTGACCACTCAGGGCTCAAGCAGGTACTACTGAGAAATTATATCATTTAGGAGAAATTCAATTAATATAAATATTTATCATCACCCCGTGTCTGGGTAATAACATGTGACTGAAAATGTGTTTCATTTGAAAGTTGTTGTTGTGGTTTTTTTTTAATCAATTCTACATTATTCACACAATATACAATGCCTACAGAATGTAGGCAGGTGACCAAAAATATTACTAAGTAAATATAAAAACTAAATCCTGCATACTCTCTCTAGAAGACACAATTCTTATTTAGAAGTGGCCATTGGCTCTCCTTGTGAGATGGACTTGCAGCCTAGAGAAAGAATAAAGCGTGTTTCCTAGACACTAAGTGGGAAGACTTTGGGCTGTGCCTGGGCCACAGATATGCTTCCTCCTTTCCAAACACCCTTTCCCATTGTGCCTACTGCTAGGATATTTCTACTACAGCAGGTGTTTCTGGTACCAGTGACCTACACATCACAATCCATTCCCACATTCATTGCTTTTAAACAAGAGGTTCTCACATTCTCACATTTAAAATTGCATAAGAATGCCCAGGAGATGCTGAATCTGCTAGCTGAGGAGTAACAATTTGAGAACTACTGAACTGAGCAATTTTGAGAGAGTTTTCAGGATAAAACTATGTTGAAGGCAAATGGTAGGCTCTTGATTTGGCACTGGCTTGATTTCAAATGCACTTCCTTTTGGAGTCAGAGATCTGATATCTCTGTCAAAGAGCAACAGTGGAAACTGGTGGAGATGGTCACTTTCCATTTTCCCAAAACTACATTAACGTTGAGTAGATGATTTCTCTACTGCTTACCCTATTTGTGACTTTAACAACTAATTAATTCACACTTTGCTGGAAATCTGCTAGTTCTCCATGAATTTGCTATTTGATGTTAACAAAGAAGTTGTCTTACCTCACTTGATGAGATGCTAGAACGTTCCTTGAAAAGTAATAATAAAATTAATCAAAATCTAGCAATGAGAAGAAATCCTCAGGATTATTCTTTGGATGTTAGTGGTCATTTGGGATATCTTATATTACCTACATGATCATTAGTATGATAAATAAAATGATTGAAATAAAAGCAGTATAACTAGTTTTCTTGACTATTCATTATTACCTTTGGAAAACAAGTGGAAGAGATAAATATGATTTTATAATTAAATGGAAGTGTTTCAAGAGAATATGGCCCAATTTAGGTAGATACTACCAAAGTGAACAAGGAAAATTTGTCATTTTAAAGCAACTTTTAAGTCTTTAGTTTCTTAAAAGAGGAAATTTACAGATACTCCCATATGCCACTCTACTATATTACATACTGGTAATACAAATAAAAATTGTTCAAATAAACAAAAATTTCTCACCATTTCTCTTGTGTTCTCTGCAGATTCCTTAAAGAGAAATAAAAAAATTAGATATATTATCTCCACAGTATTTTAAATAAAACATTCTTTCCTAAATTTAAAGGAAAAAAGCCCTCTACCATAAAGTGAAGTATTAGAATGGATTTATCTTTATTGTATGAGTTTTGCATAAGTAATATTAAACCTTCTCACTTGGTAATAAACATATAACCATTGGTATTTACTGCGTTTATTATATTTATTATTGTGTCCCTAGAGACTAAGGTGATGTTCTGAACAGAGTTCTTGTTCAATAAATGTTTGTCAAATGAATTGGTGAATATGCAAGATTAATCTAGGCATTGTATGGATATGCTTTTTTTCATTTTATGAGTCATCACTTATTCAATTGTGTTTTATGAAACACACCTAACATGTGTTTTTAAAGGAAATATACATTGTTTCTATGCTACACAGATCAAGTATTTTAAAGCTACTTTTGAAAGTTGCTAGTCAATTTCAAGAAAATTATTATAATAGGAAAATAATTTTTAAAAAGAAGAAAATATTAACTTTGGAGCTTTTATAAATAAAAAAAAAATACTGAAGAACAAGTTCTCCATTCCTCCTAGAATCTAAGGATTAAATTTATTGATTACTGCAAAAATCTACTTTCTTCAATGCAATTAAGTGAGAGGATATAATTTCAATCTCATTCTTTAAAAATAATCTTGATTTTCAAATTTGACTTGGACTATATTTGGTTCAAAGTACTATAATATTTTTACTTCATATTTTACTATAGATGTGAAGTCAATATATACCTCACAGGATGGGGAATAAATGCTCTCCTAAAAGGAAACACACAAACTAAGAAGAATATAGCATGTACTGAAATGCAGTAGAATATGCTTGGGCATAAAGTGATAGCCAAGAGAACACAAATTTGTGAACAAAACAGTATAATGTTGGGAAAGAAAAACAAAAGTGGTAGATCATTGATGAGAAATTCTTTTTTTTTTTTTTTTAGACCGTCAAACCTCAGAGGAAAGGCAGGGGAGGGTGGGAGTAAGGGGGAGAGATCAACCAAAGGACTTACATGCATGCATATAAGAATAACCAATGGACACAGACACCAGGGGGGTGAGGGCATGAACAGGGGGTGGGGGGGCAATGGGGGTAAAAGGACACATATGTAATACCTTAATCAATAAAGAAAATTTAAAAAAAGAAATTCTTTTAAATATATTCTGCTTTAACAATGTGGCCTGCAAATGACTCACAAGTCCTTCCCTAGGATTACTTTTATGTTAGTCCATAGAAAAAAGATATCAAAGATTAATAGATTAAATTAATTAAACATTACCTTAATGGGATGAATGATCACATTCCTTTCCTGCTTAAATTTCTAAAAAACAAATAAAATAATTTTCTAACCTTGATTAAGTAAAAAAAAAGTTAGAATATATGCAATATAAGACGTCAGGACTTACTTCCTGTGAGATGTTGACAGATTCCTTAGAAAAAGAAAAACAATGTAACTTATTTACATAAATTGCATTCATACTAGCAATAAACTTATCAACCTACAACCATTATCCATTGGGTAGATAACATATTTAGTTCTTGACTAAATTTCAGACAAAGTTAATCAGAATTTCTGTTTCTCTATATAATAAACTTATTATATTCCAGATAATAAACTCATTCCACACCATGCTTTGGGTTATGAATAAAAAGCTTTTTCAAATATCATCTGCAGAGAAGAAAGAATTTTCTATTTCCTCTTACAATTTCCAATTTCCCTCTTTTTTTAGTTACTACTTTTTCTTTTGAACTGTTAAAGAGATGAAATACATCACAGGAAAACAATAAAATCCTTAGGTGACATTGAAGATGTCTTTGGGCATCTTTTATACTTTCATGGTCAAGAAGTCATTTGGAAATTAGCATTTAATACGGATCCAGAAAAGCATGAGTCCTTATTGCAGAAACATACAATGGATTCCTGTCACTGTACTCATGAAATATAGCATGTTCATAATAACTTCTAAGCTGATATCAAGAGACCTTTAGATAAAACACTGTATAAATCTAAGCTTGGTAATTTCAATGTGTACATTTTGTTTGTTTGTTTTTTACTACTCCATAGGTATTGTTTTATGGCTGCACATCAATTTTCTCAGACTGAGTAGCTCTAGACATCTGGATAAAAATACAAACAAAAACTCTAAAAAAAAAACTATTGTAAAGACTTAATTGTTCAGGCACATTATGTTTTTACTAGTGAAAGGATTTTATATTAAAGTATCTTACCTCACTGGATGAGCTAGTTTCCATCTTCTGTATAAAAAACAAATACAAGTTTCAGTGTTATCGTTTATTTAAAATGCTAAGCCATATCACTGCTTTTTTTGTTATTGTTTTGGTGGCAAGGGACTTTTAGAAGTCTGTTTCTGGGAATGTTTAAGGTTTAGTTGAATGCTTTTTATAATATCAATACGCAAGTCATTCTGTACTTCAAATAAATCCTTGTGGTAGCTTAATATATTTCTTACTTTTAGGAAGTAGTTGGGCTCTTTGTTTTAAATATTAATCCTGTCACATTTTAAAATATATGTGTAGATGTGCTATAGAATTTTAAAATGCAATATATTATATTTTATTTAGTTTATATTAATTGCTAGATTTAATTAATCTTAAAGGAAAGATTGAGGACAATTACTGGTTTATAGAGAAAGAGATAAGAGTGGTTTAGACTAGCAGATTATAAGCAGAAGAAACAATCAAGCTTGATGTAAGATGTATCACCAAAGCATTATTATTTTTTTTTCTATTTACCTAACTAAAATTCTTACCCTAACCATACTCTTGAAATGGCTCTCAATTTAAGAAATAACAAAAACTTTTGAAGATTTATGTGTGAGATATAGAACACAGAGGAAACAAAAGACCCCAATTCCCCCTAAGGATATGCACTTAGGATTATTGGTGAGGGCTGCAGGGTATGGATAAAACCTGAGTTACACCTGAGAAAGTTTTATAGATTACTTGTACATGTTTTCAAAGCACTTCACATAAAGTACCTAGTTCATCCTTATCATTTGTGATATGAACATTTTCATAACATTCGCACTAAAAGATTGTGAAGCTTTGAGAAGTTAAGGATTATTTTGCATTAGTTTGTTTGGCAAGGAATTTTCAAAGTTACTCCTCTTAAACACATCCTTGTTTCCTTTCTAGACATCATGGATTCTGATCTATTGGAATAAAAATGGTAAAATTTTGTCACTTGTTTGAGAGATGGTTTTGGAATCTACATATTACCTGTGTCATTTTTGCTCTTTCAAAGATATCCTAGTTATGGCATATATAATGCTATATATGGTTTATAATGGGTTATATATGGTTATATAATTCACACTTTTAGGAAGTAGTTGTTGGAATGAAAATAGTTTCCCAGTAAATTCAAAGAGACATGGAAGGAAGTGTAAGCCTTTAACCTACAACTAAAATCTCCTCAAACCTACAAAGAAAATACTTTGTAATAAGAAATCTGTCCACCATGATATCTTACATAAGTCAGGGCCAATGCTACATTCATTTATAGTTTTTAAAGATCTACACACTTAGTGTCTATTCCTTGCTGCTTATTCCTGCTATCATCTGCATAAAAGAATCACTCTTCTTATCCTATATAATAAAATCTCAGCGACCAAAATGGCAGAACGACCAGAGACCAGAACGACCATAGTCCCTCACCCCAGCCGGCAGACCCCTAGTGAGTGGTTAGGGGTGATCAGGCAGGCAGGTGAGCATTTAAGGGGCAATCAGGGAGGCAGGCAGACTGCTTAGGGGTGATCAGGAAGGCAGAGGCAGTTAGGGGCGATCACACAGGCAGAGGCAGTTAGGGGCAGGGCCATCAGGCAGGCAGGTGAGTGGTTAGGGGTGATCAGGCAGACAGGCAAGCAGTTAGAGGCCAGCAGTCCTGGATTGCAAGAGGGATGTCTGACTGCCCATTTAGGCCCAATCCACAGGGTCCCTGTGGTTTGGGCCTAAACTGGCAGTCGGACATCCCCTGAGGGGTCCTGGATTTCGAGAGGGTGTAGGGATGCCCCCATGTAAGAATTTCATGCATTGGGCCTCTAGTATTTAAATAAGAATAGATACTCATAAAGGTTTCATTCTACTTACATGGTTTGCAAGAGCAACAGCCAAAAGGCAAGTAAAAATGAGGAACTTCATGTTGACTTTGTCCTGTAAAACAGATACATAGCAAATCAATACTAGTTTTACTATCCTTAAAATTACATATGTGGTCATTACTTATGTATTAATTTAACTTTGCTTTGGATACTTGGGAAAGGGAAATAAAGACTAATAATATCAGATTCATTGATAAGTATATGGATATGAATATGACAAGTTTTTTATGTGGAGAATTTTATTAATAGATCATATGTAAGTTCTCTCAATGTAATTAAAAAATAAAATAAAAAGAAAAGAACATAATGTAAATTCTTAGTTTCTAAAATGTAGAAGTTCCTTCCAGCATGGAAAGTTAGGATTATTGGTCTTATATATAAGTAGTTAATTTATTTATTAACTTATTCAATGACTATTTGCTATCACATGTCAGGAACTATTTCAGACATGAAGATAAAGTGATGAAAAATATAACTATAATCTACTAGACCATATTATTTACAACTCTTTTCTAATGTTATGGAAAATGGCTGTCAGAAATGCAAATTACAAAAGGAACTAATTTTTAAATTAAATTATTGAGGTGACATCCTATGTAATAAAAGCCTAATATGCAAATTGACTGACCAGCGGAAAGACTGGTGGAACGACCAGTCACTATGATGCACACTGACCACCAGGGGGCAGATGTTCAATGCAGGAGCTGCGCCTAGCCTGCAGGCCCCAGGCCAGCCAAAATGGGTACCAGTGGGGACCCCCCAGTCACCCCGCTGGTCGCCTGGAAGCAGTGGGGGGTGGGTACGATGAGTGGGCGGCACCAGGCTGGCCAAGGCAGGTGCCAGCTGGTGTCCCCTGATCACCCCACTGGTCACCCCACAGATTGGCCCTGATCGCTGGCCAGGCTTAGGGACTTTACCTGTGCACAAATTTTGTGCACTAGGCCTCTAGTTGTTTAATGAGATTATATAGGTTTCAAGTGTACATTTCTATGATACATGATTTGTATGTTGCATTGTGTGCCCACCATCCAAAGTCAAATTATCTTCCCTCATCCTATATATGACCCCCTTTACCTTTTACTAACCCTCTTCCTCACTGCCCTTCCCACCATACTGAACTAACTTTTTGTTGTTGTTGTCAATCCTCACCTGAGGCTATTTTTCCATTGATTTTTAAAGAGAGTGGAAGGGAGGGGGAGAGCCAGAGAGAGAGAAACATCCACATGTGAGAGACACATTGACTGGTTGCCTCCTGCACTCCTCCCACAGGGGCCTGGGATTGAGCCTGTAATCGAGGTGCATATATGCTCTTGACCAAAATTTAACCCACAGCCCTTCATGTTGAGGCCCAGGGCTCTAACCAGTGAGGCAATCTAGCTAGGGCTGAACTAATTTTTAAATCAAATTTCAGGTGAGCCAAAACATGTAGTCTGGCTCCTCCACAAGGAGAAGTAGCTAGTGGAAATACTACTTTGTTGGTTATGAAGAGGCGGGCTAGTCCCAGCTGCACCTGGGACTGGCTGCTGAAGTCTCTAAATTGCTGAATATCACTGCACCTCATTCCCTATATCAAGCAAAAGAGAGACTTAACTAAGGAGATTTGATGTGTAAGATTCCTTCCTGCTCAATCTCTAATACTGTCACTATATAAGTCTGCAAGGTTTTCTGACCACATACTAATTCAACCTTTCCTGTAGTTAAACAAATAACTGAAAATGAAATAAAGTTATTTAAATGCATTTTTGATATATCAGTGTTTTACTCTCTAGATCTAGAAATGTTAAATTAATTATTTTTAAAGGCAAGATTTAATTTTAATCAAACAATATTATATTTGCTGGTGATTTGTAACTCTGCACACCTTGAAAATGTGTATTCTCTGTTTTAAGATTTTTATTGCCTCATTTTGTTATTCATTTCTTATTTCTACTAAAAATTTCAAATATATTTATTTGTTTTTATGATTTGGATGCCATATAAACTATTCATATTAGAAGCATTTCATGACAATGTTTTAAAATAAAATTATAAACATATTATTGCCTCTTAAAACCTGAAATAAATTTACTACATATAGTGGTTTACCTCATTTTACTTAGACATTTCATTTTCCATGGCTAAAATAGAACTGGAACATGAACAAATGTTAACTGAGTGTTAGATATGCTTTTAGCATGTTGATAAATGAGAAAAAGAATAGTTTAAGTTAATAAGTATCTGTGATATATCAGATATTGTGCTGGGATGTAAAAATATCATCTCTAGTCTGCAGAACACCCATGTTGGGTTAATGTGTCCTATTAACAGAGAAAAAAAGTGATCCAGGAAGCCACACATCAAATATGCAGTGTCCTGGATTTCCAAATATCTCATTATGATGACCTTTACTTTAAAAGAAGACTTTGGCGCTTCATTATAAGATGGAGAAGTATAATAGTTTTCACTGTCTATACATTAATTGCATCAGAAGCACTGAAAAGGAAATAAATCAGTAGCTTATGTTGGTTATAAGAAAACTTCTCTAAGTGTCTTATGGTACACAGACACTAGTTTCTTTTAAAAATATTTTAGAGCAATATTATAAGGCATATAGAACAACAAAAGGATAAATAAAAGCATTACCTTGTTTCCTAAGTGGAAGACAAGAAGGCCAGGCAGTGGGAGATCTGTGACAGGTGATCGATCACAGCACTATTTAAACCTTGTTCCTCCATGATATGGTAATTTTGTGGTTTAAATTACCTAAAATAAATTTTAATTCTAAGAAGTCCTGATGATTAGAAATTGTTTTTTTCTTCCAATGTTTGTACCACGTATTCCAAGGAATGCTTTCCCTCAGGTTGATTTAGAACATAACAGGAAATGAGGTTCTTATAATGTGTAGTGATTATCTATATTCCACATCTGCATAGCTTGCTTCTGCCAAATACTCATTGTGTGGTTCAGGATAAGTTTTGATATTTTTCCTAGAGGCACCTTAATGTCATTTCTAGTCCAAAAATCTTGAATAGATACCTAAAATGACATTTTGGATATGTTAATTGAAATGTTATTAATGTATTAAAAATATCCTCATCATATTCACTACTTATGATCTGCCAACACTTAAAAATATGGTTATCATATGCAAGTTTCTGTGATATGATGGGAAACCCAGCTCTCTTATTAATGAGCACTAACTTTCATAAGCATATATTTTCTTCTCTCAGTAATTCCTGAAATTGTAAAGTAATAATAGTCATATTTAATCCAATTTATAAGACTGTAAAGTGAATTGGTATCTATGCTTTTCAGAAGTCACAAAATAAAATGGCTATAGTGACCAGGCAGGTAAATTAGTGCCTAACAGAGATCCAGGTTTAAGAAAATAAGGTATCATGGGGTCTGTGGGTTTCCTGAGAAGGCATAGGTCTGAAGGGAAAGGTTAATATTCAGCTCCAGTTAATTTTGACATGTAACATACATGCCCCATTGTTGTCACATCTTCCAGTATTTTAGGATAAGCTGTCTTATTACTTATTCATAATATGTGTGAATATTGATTGTTAATTCATTAAAACTATTTTAAAAGGTTGTTTCTGCTGACAGAACTCAAGCACAGATGGTTTTTGCCCAAATGCTGCCAATTTGAGACTTCTGAAGAAAAATGCTAATTTCTAGGTGCATGCAAGTATTGGAAAATGAACCATTTTGAAAAAAAAACAAGTCCTCTGTTTAGCTGAAGCATTAATGTTTAAGTATCAAGATGTTAAAATTCCTAATGATTTTGGTAGCAAAATTTACCACACATGTGACTACATTCTTAACACTAAAGAAGATCAATTATAATGCACAAGGTACTTAAGAGTTTAAAGCTCTTTCTCCCATGGGATTATGTGTCATGGAACTGCTATTTTTTAATCTGTTTCTAATTTTTGTCTCCTTTGCTGCTGCCTAGCAACCATCTTGTTGTTTTAATGGAATTGTTTATTTAAATAACTTTTTCCTCCAAAAGGGAAGAAATCTGGCTTTCCATCACTTCATATCTGCCACTTAGATTGGCCTGCACTTGGTCTATATTTAGAAAACACTTTAATTTCCTTTAATAATCAGGACTTACCTTTAGAAGCAATAATTTCAGCTTTTACTGATGCTTTTCATGGTTAAGGGCATGGAAACCAGACAATCATGCTTGTCTGTTTCTGTGACTCTCCAGTAACTCTTCTGAGTTACTTCTCTATGAGTCAATTTGCTTCTCTCTCGTCCTCTAAGAATTTATCAAGAGTTTGTCTCTTTTTTCTGTTACTTGTTTCATTTGTACTTGCACCTTTGCTAAGCCTACAATATCCTAAGTTCTCCTTCATCCTACAGATACCATCTCATCATTCCGTGCCACCTACTAACTAGCCACATCACCCATTTTCTTCTTTCACTCACCACCAGACTCCTTGGACGACTTCATAGTTGAGGCTTCCTCCTAACCTCTTTAATCCATTGCCTCTGCATCAGTTTATCTTCCATTGATAGGTAATTGGTTAGGAGCTTCCTAATAGATTTTTCAGTGTCTTTATCTGTTATCTCTAAAGTGCATTTTCATAGCTTCTTCACAAATATTTTCTTCCTAAAATAGATTTTATTGAATCAAAACATTTCTAGGATTTCTTAAACTGTCCAGAGTAATTTTAAATATATTTAACATAGAATGCAAAGTCATTCAAAAATCTTACCAGGAGATATTTCTGATTCTCTTTCTAGATGTCTTATGCCTCATTCATAAGTCATTCCAGCACACCATGAAATGTCCCATGCTCCACTGACTGGAAATCCTTCCATCACATTCTTGCTTTGTAAATGTCCATGTATTTATGAATATCTAGTTAAAATTTGAACCATCTATGAAAAGATCTCCCAAATTTTTTATGTACTTAAACTTTTTATATATGCTGTGAATAAAATATTTGGACAGATGCTGAAGTTTAAAATGTAGTTATGATTCTTTACTTCATTCAGAGAATAATTCTTGAGTACCCAATATGTGCCAGGAATTACTATTGAGCATCTGGAAAAAAGCCATGAACAAAAGAGGAATCTCTGCTTTCATAGCATTTACATTATTACTGACTGAGAGTATGATAAATAATAAATTTTTGGTTTGTAATGAAGTATGCTATGGAGACATTTGAATTGCAGAAAGAGAATAGGACAGTAGGAATGGGGCATTCATTGTTTGATAAGATGGGCAGAAAATGCCTCCCTGAGCAAAAGAGTAAAAACTCGTAGGAAATAAGAAAGTAAAACTTGAAGATAGTTCAATGAACTTATCTGCAAAGGTCCTGGTATATGAGTGTGCTTGACAAGTCTGAGAAATATTGACTAGACTAGTGTGGTTGGAAAATAGTGAGTTTGATGGAACTGAGTTCAGAGAGGCAAATGCGACCACTGATGCAGGGTGTTATTGGGTATTGAAAGGACTTCAAGAGAACAATTACGCTGTTTGTTATTGTAAAAATATAACTTTAGGTTATCTGTTAAAAAACCAACTGAAGGGATTGAGAGAAAAATATGTCCAATTTGGAAGCATCTGTGGGGAGAATGATAAATTGTCACATTACAGATATACTTTGAAAGTTAAAAAAATATATAATTGAATAGATTATAAATGAAGTGGGAGAAAAAGATAAAGGTCATTAATTACTCCAGATTTTTTGCATAATCACCTGCAATAACATAGTTACCATTTACTGAGATGGAAAAGATTGAGAAAAGAGCTGGTTTTGGGGAAAACACCTTAGAAATTTATTTTTTTAAAGTTAAGTTTTAAGTGGGAATTACAAATCTAAGTTTGGCATAAACAGTGTACAATAATATTTAACGCCCTAATGGGATTGATGGAAATATTAAAGGACAGACTAAAGATAAAGCCCTTTTCAGTGTTTACTGTCATCACAGTTTCAGTCTTTCTTGATGCTATTGATGTACAGCTAAAATGAGAATAGAAAGAAAATGAATCTTTTACCATCAGTTAGATATAAAAGGCCTAGAGTAGAATACAAATAAACAGAGAGAAAGAAAGTCCTATAATATAGGAAGTCCTGTATTATTTCAATGGTGTGTGAAAATGCCTATTGTAATATACATATTTAATACCTTGCAATGATTATAGTTAATCAATACACTCACTTATATACAGAAATGTCTTATATTTAAGAAGCAGGTAGTGCAGAAAGAAAATAACATATGGGGGAGTTGTGCACAGTTGAGGGAATTGAGAGATTGGTCCTAAGCAACCAAATAAAAAGTCAACAGTCCTCTAAGAATGGAAACAAAATGTGAACATGGGTTCATAAGACCTAGAAATAATTCAAGAAATGTCAATTACCATTAAGAATATTAATAATCAATTAGTAAATATTGATTAATTGGAAATAATTTGTAAACTTTCATTAATTTCTGAGTCTGAGGGGAAGTGATCTGTAGTAGAAAAACATGAAGTTAATATGGAGAATGATTTATGAGAAATATGTCTATTTTTCTTCCTATAAAGAAAATTTAATTCAATACATATTCTTTATATGCTTTAAAAATATGTGAATGAAATCTTATACAAAATCAAAACATTCACAGTTATTCCTAATTTTAAAATCATGTTACTTTAATATACAGAAAAAGTACCTTTAAGCTAAAGAGCTATTGTCCCTTGTAATAGCTACATGCATGTGTAGTACAAGTACTATGTAATACCTCAAAGGCATACTCACTAATTTCAGAATCATGACTACCTCTGAGGAGCTATGGTTGGGAATGAAGTTGAGTAGGAAGAACAAAGCTTCAATTGAATTGCAAATACTTTTTATTTTCATTAAGGGCTTTAAAAACAATTAAGGTATTATTTATGGGTGGTGAAATCCACATATTTTAAATGTGTAAGCCGATCAGTTACCAGGGTCAAGGTATGTAACATTTTCATCACTCCAGAAAGTTTCTTCCTGCCCTTTCCCATTGATAACCCCTCTCAGAAACAATCACTCATCTGAATCAATCAATAATGAGATTTTCCTGTGTTAGAAAATTGTTTGCATGTGATCATAGAGCATATACTCTGTGGTGTACAGCTTTTTTCACAAAGCAAAATGTTTTTGAGATTTATCTGCATTGTTGAAATTATGGTTGAATAATGTATTGTGAAAATCTCCACATTTTTTTATCCATCTTCTATTGAAGGACACCTTGGCTATTTCTAGTTTGGGGTTATCATGAGTTAACATGCTGTATTATTTGTACAAGGATTTTAAAAACCATAAGACATATGTTTTTATTTCTCTTGGATAAGACAGGAATGGTATTGCTGGGTCATATGATAGATGCACAGTTAATATTTTCATAAACTGCTAAACAGTTTTCTAGGGTAGCGTTTGGGATCATTTGGCATTCCTGCTAACAATAGATGAGATTTCCTATTGTTCTATTTCCTATTCAACACTTAATTTTTAGTCATCTTGACTTTGGCCATTCTAGCATGTATATAGTAGTATCTCATGTTGCTTTTAAATTGCATTTTCCTGATGACTAAAGAAGTTGAGAGCACTAACCTCTACATCTTTTAGAATTAATTTCTTAAAACCCTCTGATGCTTTAATTATACTATTATTGGAAAAATTGTTTAGTGTAGTTATTATT